CTAAATTTCGTTCAGTAATTATTTAAACATCTATTATTATTTATAACATCATTATTAAATATTCGTATTGATAAAAGATTAAAAAAATATACATGACCGCAGACTTTATTGCCGGTTCTTCTCTGGCAGGTCTAGTTTAGTGAACCGGTGGTAGTTTTTGACGTTCAATAAGAGCTTGAAATAAGCCTATGTTGAGTAAAGAAATTTTAACTTTGGATACCTGGAAGAAATTACTCCTTTAGCAATATGGCCGTTAATATGTGTACACTATGTTTAAATATATTTTTCTTTTGTGTAATTCCTTGTGTGCAGTAAAGTATACTCGTTCTGTCTCTCTCTAAAGATTTAAATATGTATATGAGTGTTTTACTGTGGTAGCAGTAAGCGGCGTGCTCGTCCGGGGAAGTACCACGGCCTCACAGAAGACAGGCGTGAAGTGGTAGTAAAATATATTATATCTTGCGTATTCAATAGTCTTCACTATTGCACGAATGGGCAGGCCCGTCCTGGTAAGTACCACGACCTGAAAACTGGCGTAAAGTAGAAGTTTTACACTTCTGCGTTTCGTCTAGTGAGTGTAGTAGCCGGGGGCCATTATATTTAAAGGTGGCAACGCGTTTGCAACCCTACGGGTGTTGCAAAAGTCCATGGGCGGCGGTTATCACTTAACATCAGGTGAACCGCCAGCTTGTTTGTCACTTTCTCACATAAAAAAATGGTAACCGGGACCTTCTTATTTTAAAAGTTGTCAACACATCTGCATCCAAATTATTAGAATTTAAATGCATTATTTTGTTCATAATCGCGCTACGTTGCAAACGAAGAAGATTATGTTTGAATCGCTGTGATATGGAATTTATTATAATTATATTACTAATTAGTCGAATGATGAATGACTAGATGCACGAACGCATGAAGCACAATATACATGTTAACTTTAATAACAACTTATTTACGGAATAGTAGTTACTAGCTGAGATATATTCATTATAAGCTTCTAAGCATTTTAAGCTTCTACTTCTACGCAAGAAATATAAAAAAAAAATAGGGTGAAACTCAAAGAATTAAATATTGTGTCACCACAAAACTTATCGTTAGTACTTCACACACGTGTAATTGACTTTCTTCTATTAAGTTTCATATATAAACTAAAACATAATTTCCATCACAACAAAATTGTTTTCTAAGTACTTACTTTTCATCTTATTATCGAATAAAACAATTTATATAACGCGTCTAATTAAAGTTTCGATCTTTCGAGACATTCGCACCAGCTGTAACAGCCAAAACATCAATTTAACAAAATGATCGCGGAATCACCAGTCGGCATTTATCAACGCATAATATAGGCCACCAGCCTCTTTGAAAGCCTTACAACGCAGATGGGTCCAAACTAGTTAGTAGTTTCACACAATACAGCCTTGAATACAGGAGAGCCTTGAACCAATTCGTGGCGCCTCGCTCCTCAGACAAAACTCCTCAGACAAACCTCTGATTCCAATTGTAATGAGTGAATCATTCAATCCACATGATAATTTTAAAACGAAACAGTACTTGTTCCATTGTAGGGACCCAATTACCTTTAAACGCTGATATTCAATAGCTGAAAAGATCTCACTTCGAAATATCTCCTTAAATATCGTTAACATACGCGTACTGGAATATGACCCTTTTGCCGACGGGATAAGATTGTGATGCAGTTTTGAAAATGGTACGTTTTTTATTTGCTGACCGATAAATACGATACTGCTGCCATTATGCAAGATCGCGAGACACATATAGGGATCCAAATAAGTCGGTAACACACAGATAATAGTTCCGGATCTGGGTGTTTGTTTCAACGAGGGTTGATGTCAAGCAGGCGGCTGGTCGTAAAGAACATAGCCAAAACCACTTACAACACGATTAACATTCTGTGCCGACCCCACACTGGTGAGATAAGTGCAGGAGGATGATATGATGATATTATTACGAAAATATGCAGGTTTCCTCACGGTGTTCTCATACACTGCTGAGCACGTAACACAAATAATTAAAATAATAGAATTTGATTAGCTACGGCCGAGATGGACACGAGTATTAACAGCGGGAACGTAAACGTCTTTTGTTGGTGGTCGACAGGTAAGTTTACATTGGGCGGCGTGGGGAAGCGATATGACGTCAGCTTCGATTAGTGCTATGCGGTAGCAATAATTGTTTGGGATCTCATCAGATGAATAGTATATTATAAGTATAATACTTACAACTAACGCCGTTCGTCTGTCAGGCTGACAGAAGACTGACTTTTTATGTGAGAACGTGGCAAGCGAGCTGGCGTTTCTCGTGATGTTAAGTGATAACCACCGCCCATGAATGTTTGCAACACCCGTAGGGTTGCAGATGTGTTGCCACTTTAATTAAAGTGGGCTCGGTTAACTCACTGCCAGAACGCAGAAGCACTTTCACTTCACGCCGGTGTTTTGTAAGGTCGTGGTACTTCTCCGGACGGACCTGCCCATTCGTGCAACAGTGAAGACTGTTGCGTGGCCCTACCACAGTCCTTCCTCCATAGCTTGAGCAATTCGTGCAACGGCAGAAGTTACTGCTTGGCGCCGCTACCACGTAATTAGTCATTAGTCATTAGTCTGTAATACCTTAGTTTCTTTAATGTTAAAAAATCCTCCTTCCTTCCTTCGTCCTTATGATTTCAATTGTAATGATTCACTCTACATAATCATTTTAAACTCGATTTCAATTTATCATATCAATGTATATTAAATCTTAAAAATTGATATAATTTAATTGAATATGTCCGTCATTATTTAAGTTATACAATTATGTATAAATTACACCTCAATTTAAGGTAGACTAATGGAAAACAGAGCATTTATAATTATTTATTTTGGTTTATTTAATTATAACATAAGAAAAGTAAGTATATCAAGAAATAGTTAAAATAATCTCATTAAAAAAATGTCATTATTTTGTTAGTCTCTCTATACTAACTAAATAATAATCCTTACTGAAAAAAGTTTATGTATATGGATGGATGTTTGTTACTCTTTCACGCAAATACTACTGAATGAATTTTAATAAAACTACAATAATATAGCTTATACATCAGAATAAGACATAGGCTATAATTTATATACATGTTTCTGTCTGAATGTTACTCCTTCAGCCTATTCTACGCAGACGTAGTCGCGGGCAGCAGCTAGTAATTTATATGTATAAGAATAGAGATCCAATATCACTAACACGATGATAATGAATTGAGACACTGTATAAGCTTGAAATCGAGATACGTAGGTAGTACATTATTATATTGGCTTTGGATTTGGAAAATCATAGACTTTTTCAATGTTACGTATCTTTTCTTGTCTTCCAGGTTAAATTGTTCCTTAATTTTCCCATACTTTTCGTACTATATATGATCCTAGGTAGGGTAAATTCATTCAACCCATTGTAACTTACCTGCGTCCATTTTCGCAAAAAAATCTCCTATATGGATTTTACTTCGCTAAAAATGTTTCATTCCGCCCTTAAAATAAAGCATAGACATTTCTTACTTTATACTCAGCGTAAAGTAAGAAATTACAATCTTAATATACTCACGGCGTCTGTCACACAATTACTCTGTGCCTCCCAAATAAAACAAACCACCTTCTTAAGATCAGAGAAATGAATCGAAAACACGAATCCCCTTAATCGTAGCCCCATCGTTTATTATAATAACGAAATCTCCTATCGCGTTTAAAGTGTTCGGAGTTACGCCTCGCGAGGTGTTGATTTTAGCCCCGAGCCACGATCGATCGGTCACGTCGGAGGAAGTATCAAGGAGTAAACGTGATGTAGCTCCCATTTAAACGGGCACTATGCAATGATATTTAACAATATAGATGACGCATGTCCATACTGAGCGGCGTTTAGAAATTGTTCCGCTCCACATTATACGACATATGTAAGCGAATGTGACAGATGATAGTACGTGAGATAGCAGTCTAAAGATTTGCAATGTAATTACGACAATTGGTGTAATTATAACGCCTCAGTTTCGGTGCGCTGGTCTTCATACCTACCATGTATTTGTATGTAATATCATTGGGCACTATGTGTGTTAATTAAAGTTGAACAACAAAGTGAACGATACCATAATTCTTTTAGTTTCATATAAACCTTAGTAGCAACTTACTAATGGCGAGTACGTTTTATCGAGCTTATGTATTTATAAACATGAGAGGTAGAAGCAGTGGAGTGACAGTGATTTCAGATTGGCTATGCACTGAAAACCGGCCAAGTGCGAGTCGAATCTCGCGCACGAAGGGATTCATACCATTATCTATAATATTAATAACGACAAAAAAATCGTTTCTGTTGTATTTTTTATTCAGATTTTTAGTATTTTTCGTTATAGCGACAACAGAAATACATCATTTGTAAAAATTTCAACTGTCTAACTATCACGGTTCCTGAGATACAGCCTGTTGACAGACGGACAGACAGACAGACAGCGGAGCCTTAGTAATAGGGTCCCGTATTACCCTTTGGGTACGGAACCCTAAAAAACTTACCAATTTCCCTACTTGATTCTTCATAACATAACAGGTCAGAGGTCACTTAAATGATATCCAAAGTGGCCTACGAAAAACAATAAACTGAAACTGTAACTAGGTTTCACTGTTTTGAGGCATGCGTAAACCAGACCTGTCGTCTATATACTGAGCTCTTTTGTGGGACAGTGATTTTTATCAGTATGCATCCGAAAACAACGTCAATGGCTTTTCAAAATCCGATCAGAACCTTCTCACGGAATCGTAAGAAAAATTCTCCGTGACTTTCATTCGCCCTTCAAGCCGCAGGAAACTTAGTTCCGAAACAAAGAACCGTATCAGGCACGAGCTCTTCTTGAAAGCAGATCAGACAAGTACAAGCACTAGGGCCGCGAAGTTGCAGCAACCGCGAAATTATATAGGCAATTTGCGCGACCCATTTAAAGCATAACACAATAAATGTGACCTCTAGAACGAGACGGAGACCTTTTGAGCGGTGAACGGTAAAGGGGCAGGTAGCTTATACAGCGTTGTCCCGATGAAAGGCATCGCCGGCGCCGCTGAACGGTGGCTGGGGTCACGCAATCGGCACAAAGGACCCTCGGATGCGGAGAAGCCTTTTTGTGCCGGAGATCTCGGTGCTGCCAAGGTTGGAGTTAAACGGCTAACTGTACGCTCGCGTGTTCCCATTGTGTCGGCGGTTAATTTGAGAGATTGAGACCCCTATTATGAGGGTCGGCTGGCGGTGGCTACATTTGTTCAACCGCGCTGATGGCAGTGCACTTGTGAGGGTCGAACCCGCGTCGTTTCGCGCAAAGTACGACCGAGCTTCAAGTTAAGACCCTTGGATTATTGCTTTCTTTCTCTTTTCTTGCTTGCTTAGCTATTACTGTCTTGCTCTGTTCTTGTTGGTTACTAGTTAGTTAGTTTTTAAATTTTATAAAAAACCAGCGACCCGCCCCGGCTTCGCACGGGTGCAATACTAAATGTTTGTTTTCGACATCGCATTAGAAACCTCTAAAATTATCAGTGTTTCTTTACTATGTTATGCATGAATTATACATATGAACCTTCCTCTTGACTCACTTTATCCATCGAAAAAACCGCATTAACATTCGTTGCGTAGTTTTAAAGATCTAAGCATATGTAGGGACAGACAGACAGCGAGACGACTTTGTTTTATACTATATAGTATATATAACTAACTATAGGTAACATTATTGTGCTCTCTGTATATATTATATATATTCAAGAAATGAATGGGTTGAAATTGCTAATCATTGGTACGTGATCGTATAATCATGAAATGAAAATAATGACAACTTGATATTTATTGCTTTTAAAGTGATTGACTTTGTTTGTACATAGAGCATAGCTTCGTTTTCCTTAGCTACAATTTTGTAGGTTTTTATCATACACTAGTGCAAATGAACTTCGTTCTTTTAGCGAAATAGGGATGGAAAAAGTGAAATAATGAAAATTTTTAAAAGGTTTTAAGAGGAGACAGCTTTTATAGAACAATCATGCCTTAAAACATGTAGAAAAAGTACTTTTCTTCGGCATCGCGGCATGACGCTCTAGCCACTGAGCTAAACGTGATCCACAGCGACGAAAATATTAACGCCTTCTTTCTACATGATTTAGCATTTGAAGCAATGCTTGGCGCATCTATTGTGTACCTTGATACTTTCGAATATCGTTTTACAACGATAATTCGAACGTGTCGCCATTGCTTTTTATTTTTACTTTGTTAGTGCTAATCACAGAGCATAGCTTCGTTTTCCTTAGCTACATTTTCGTAGAATGTTTTCATCATACACTAGTGCAAATGAACTTCTTTGGATGGAAAAAGTGAAATAATGAAAATTTTTAAAAGGTTTTAATAGAAGACAGCTTTTATTGAACAATCATGCCTTAGTTTATTGGTAATTATTGGAAATGACATACGGATTTTAGCGCGTTTTAATTTGTTTTAACTTTTTATTTCCAACTTCACGAACCGTTTCCGGCGTCCATTGACGCGGGAAACGACCCCGTAAAATAGTTTCATTTAACCGTGTATAATATTTGCGTAAAAACGAGAACAACGAAATCGAAAAACGACAAGTATTCCCGAATAAATGTATGTCGCAAAACCCGGGTAAGAAACGATCCGTATGATTGATAAATTACTAATTCTTGAGGAAACGGTAAATCCCATTTGTCTTACTACCGTATTCGAAGACAAACGGACGGACAAAAGCACGAGTCACTCGGCAGGCGCCTGAGGGGGGCTATGAAGAATACGCATTCCCCTTTGTCGCAAACCGCGTCGGCCGCCAAGCAGAGACATTGTCCGGTTCGATTCCAAGCAATGTGCTAAATTAGATCTTATGAAAAAGACAATAGAATGCCAATAACACGACATGAATTCGAAAGGTGTCGCAATTTTTTTATTTCCTCCAGTGCAACTGAATTTAGACCCAGACACAACATGATAAGATTCAAAATTCTTCACCAGCTTACAGCGGAGAGAAAGGACCTGGTGTCCATAACTCATGTTTAGTTAAACAAATACTGTCGTGTCATAGAAGCAAAAAAGCCTAATTACGTTTCTTTCTACGGTCATTTCAACTAAATATTGGTTATTAATAAACCATATTTCTGCTCTGCGGTCAGTTTCTTAGATTTTTTTTGTGGGGTTTCATAATACCGACAAACAAATGCCGACCGCTATTTTCTACTAACTCTTGTTTATACATTTTTTTCTCTATATCACGTGCGGTAGACCAATTGAAGATTTTGTAGGTAACTGCACGATAAAAAAAATCAAAGTAAGAAACGTGTCCCACTGCTGGGCAAAAACTTTGTGCTATGTGGATAGGCTTCACACATCTTTATAATATATGTATGTGTCTTTAAAGTCTGTGGTTGGGCCTCGCAATAGCCCCAGCTGAAAAGACAGGCACATCCGAGGAAATACTAAGAAGCCTGTCGTAAAGTGAAAGTATTATTTGTATATGTTTAATTCTGTCCATGGAATTGTTAGGTTTTATTATTTGTTTGGACTATTTTATAACTTTTGGCTACACTATCGCATGGGGTCAGCCTCTAATGATAGTTGTATGCGTGTGTGTAATAAATCAACAACTAAATAAATAAAACCAGGCACCATGGTTTTAGATAGATTTAATCTTGTAAATATTAGATCAATAAAGATTGTATATTAAAAAAAAATATATTTTCGCGTTTCGTATCGTGAGTGAGGTATCCGCCAGCTTTTTTAAATGTTGTCAACATATCTACAAGCCCGCACGTGTTGAAAATTTCCATAGGCGGCGATATGCACTTAACATCAGGTGAACCGCCAGTTCGTTGACAAATATTCACATAAAAATATGTAAAGTCCTCGTTCACGGTTGAATCAACAACAATTACGTATATAATTGTGTAATATAATGTAATTATTCACACCCTATATATATAAATGTGTAATTATTTTCTTAAGCAAATTACGTGTTCGCATAAATACAATGAATCATTATAAGATTGTTCGTGGTAAACGACGCTGTGCGACAACGCCTTAAGAACATAAGAGAAAATCCCAGTATCCCATCTAGTAATCCTATCCGATAGCCTATAGTGACTGTGACGGCGGCTAAAGGTATTGTTGGTAAATCGCCTATACATGCTGCCAATATCGCAATATTTGCTGATTTACATTACTATGTAATTATATAGTAGGAATGATCTATTGAAATTGAACATGCCTAAAAGGTAAATAAGTAAAATGGGTGAATTTAGAAATAATTGCTTCAATAATATTCCCGTCTTAGGTTTTAATGAACTTTGGTTTTATCTTGTTTATTATATGTATAGTATATAAATGAGGTATTCATTTAGATATTATATCAATTATAGTTAATTTTATCTTGGATACATTATCTCTTAGAAAAGCATCAATCTCAACGTGTGGTAGAAATTTCACAAGAAATATTGTATGTACCATTTGTCGTTGGTTTTAATAACGAGTAAAGACATTAATTGGTGAATACAATTGCTCAGTAAAATCGTACCCTTTGCTCTTCCAGTCTTCAAGACACATCTATCTATAAAAATAACCCGTCACCAGGTACTTCTAAAACCTGTAACCCTTAATTACGCGTATGTAATTAGAGTTCAGGAGTGTTCAACGCTTTTATAAGAAGACTGCCGGTTGTCCTATATAAAAATCACATCGTTTTTTCCCCTCAACAAGGCGAAATCAAGCGGCAGCTTTGGTTTTTTTCTGGAAATTGTTTTATCAACACAGTTTGGGCAAACGAGGCGATTAAGGGCGATTATTGGGCGCTGGTTCGATACCCGATTATAGGAATTTCGTCTTACGATTTGGCAGTTAAGTTAGGATCGGACGCCGGCGTGTAAATATAATTAATGGCGCCGTTTTGTTTGTTTTGGGCGCCCGAGCGTGATGTCTAATGCCTGCTCAACTTTGCGAGGGTTGTCTGGGTTTTTCAAAATTTTTATATCACAAATTTCTAGTGTTTTACGTGAAAAAACAAATGAAAAACCATATATTTAAAACGTTAAAGTTAAAGTTTTTGCTATAAGTACAATTTTCTGATTCTCTGAACTCCTCAATATGAAAGCCTGTATCGAGGAGAGACATTTCTTTTTCGAAAAATTTACTACATATTACAGTAAAACTTAAATACACACGAACATTAGTAATCGTTAATGAGTTAACCTATTTTTTACAGATGACATAGCTTTCACTTTAAACTAGAATATCGGATGTTTCAAATACTTTACAACGGTCGTCAATGGCACGAATAAATCATTATTTAGTCGTAAAAAAGTTTACAAAGTGATACAAAACTCGTAATAAGATTTTCATTCATTAAATAATTATTAATAATTGTTAATTTATTTGAATATAAAAAGTAACACATTTTTTTAACAAGTCACGTCTACTTGGGTGGTTGTGGGAAATGTCATTGAAATAACGTAATTTAAATAAATGGGTGGTTGTGGGAAATTATTAATAGCGTTATTTTAAATAAATTTGCTATATATTACGTATTCTTGATGCACGCCAATCAAAATAGTTATAGTTTAAAATGTGTTTATTATAATTGTACTGCCTGTTTATGTTTAGACAATAATTTTGTCATAATTTATTTTTTGTGCTACTGCAGTTTGTTACCAAATAGTTTACCGTTTCACGAACAGTGGAATAATTATAGACCGCTAGACACAAACAAACAGAGGAGAGAAAACGTATTTACGAACGAGGTATACACAGAAAAAGGCCAAATGGTTATTTTTGGCGCCATTCTTACTCGTTATAAATTTCTCAGCACAGATTGAGCAATATTGTAAAAACCAATAGAGGGCGTGAATAAAAAAAGAAACTTTGATTCAACGTTTGGTCTTACTTTTGGCGGGTTTAGGGTTGGTTACTTATAACTAGTTAAACTAAACTTAACTAGTCCAGCAATCCGCAGTGGGGCCGCGTGGTGGACCCTCTGTACAGAGGAGGCCTTTGCCCAACAGTGGGACATTTATAGTCTGATACTTTACTTTTACCTATAAACTTAACTAAGTTTGCGGTAAGTGGTAAAAATTAACAACTTATTGAAGTGAAACTTCTTTATCGGGGTTGGAAAAAATTTAGTGTAACATTTTTGCGTTACGCGCCATCTTGTTGTTGTGGTTTTAATAGTTGACGCTAGATGGCGTTAGTCCTATGTGTGTTCATAACAATATATATATATGTTATATTAAAGTGATCAGCAAAATCAAAGGGTTTATTTTAATTCTAATTCTAAAATGTAAACAATATATTTCGTATTTCAGTTACCATAAGCCATTAATAACACAAATATATAATAACGACATCAATGATAGTAATAATTCTATTACAATTAATGAAATTCAATAATAATATTTGTAGTAATGACAGTGCTAGCTTTAATACTTCAGAGCACGACACTGTAGACTTCCTCTTTTCCAAAGGCAGGCACCGCCCACCGTGACCTGACTGCGCCTTCCACCGAAGACACAATCTGAAGCTGACCGATGATGCTCTTCGAAGCCTCGATCGGCTCCTGGAACTTGCGGTTGCGACGTCGATCCAACGTCCGCAAGTTCGGTTTTCAATAAAAACTTAACTCAATGAAATTTGTAAACTTTGTATCTATGTCTATGATAATTTTTATTAAACTTTATTATCTTAACCAATTTCTGTAAAGTTGCATATAGTAAATTATTTTTTGAAAAATAACGTAATAAAAAAGTTTCACTTCTTACGAGTGTACGCTAGTACACGCACACATTTTTTTTTTAATAAAAACAAAATATTTTTGCATAAACAACATCTAACAGCTAGTTCAAGTACATTATACAGAAAAGATTTAATCACAGAATAGCTTGACTCTTCTGTGATTAAATCTTTTTTTAAGTCCATTAACAGAGCAGAAAAATCCCCCCATCACTTTTCAATTAATGTTAAAAAGTGTAATTCGAACCTGGGCATATAAATGAAATTGTATAATAGAAAGTCGGTCAGTCCGCTTCCCGCTTCGCTTGTCGCTGACACTCACGGCACGCCCTCAGAAGCTTCGGTCATAAATTTAAGCGTATTGAGTTATTTAACCGAATATAAGGCCTGCTGTTAAGGTTTAGACTGCCGGACCTTAGGCGAAACAGAGTATTACGAATTAACGAGACCGTAAAAATATTACCCATTACGGCATTCAGCGGTGTTTTGATATTATTTTATGGGGGAAGAAGGCAAGCGAGGTGGTGTTTCATCTGATGTTAAGAGAGAACTGCCACCCATGGACATTTGTAACACCGATATGCAATTACAGATGCGTTGCCACCTTTTAATAAAGTGGGCTTCAGTTACCTCACTCGTCAGACGAAAGTTGTATAACTTGTATAATCTGCCACGCAGCCTGTTGCACGAATGGGCAGGCTGGTCCGGGTAAGTAGCAAGACCTCACAGGAAACCGGCGTAAAGTGGAAGTATGAGAAATACTTTCGCGTTTTGTGATGGTGAGTGAGGTCGCCGGATCCAGTCTCGCTTGGCAACTCTTCACATAAAGAAAACTTCTACTTCACGCCTTCAGTTTGTGGTACTTCCTAGGACGGACCTGCCCATGCCTGCAACAGCAAAGACTGCCGCGTGGCCCTACCACGGTAATTACTTGCTTCTATAACACAGTAACATTACATATTACCGTTGCTATAGCAACAACGGAGCAGAATTTCGCTTTCACCCGGAGCGTAAAGACAAATCGTCTTATTTATAGCTTAACAGGGTCCATCATCATAACAGATGAAGTTGTATACTGCGTCTATTACATTGCTCTATTCCGTCCTACTTCTGTTCTCGATCAGTTCTCTATTCACGGAACCGCACGCCTTCTTGATATCGTAAAGGTAAGCCAAATAAAATAATCACGAGCCATAAAGGCCCCACAAAAAAGGCTATTGTGGCGTTAAAATTGGGGGCGAACGATATAGCACCGCGGCGGCTGGCTTAATTGGCTTGGCGAAAAGCCTCGATGGCGCATCTCTCGCACCGGTCGTCAAAGAGTGGCACAGGATGCAGACGGGTCAGTTTATCGTTCTGGTTATCATTCAGTCGTTGCCTATTAATTAAGTACGATAATTTTTTCGCCATATTAGTGCTATTAATTTAATGATTCAAGTGACTGTGGTAGGGCCACGCAGCAGCCTCGGCTGTTGCATGAATGGGCAGACTCGTCCGGGTAAGTACCACGACCCTACAGAAGACCGGCGTGAAGTGGAAGTATACTTTTGCGTTTCGTCTGGTGAGTGAGGTAGATGGAGCCCAACTTTCAAAGAGTTGCCAACGCATCTGCAACCCTCGGCTGTAGCTGATGTCCATGGGCGGCGGTATTCACTTTACATCAGGACCGCCTGCACGCTTGGCAACTTTTCACATGAAAAAAAGTAAAAATGAGGTCGTTAAACATCTTTACATTTTATGAAATATTATTAGGTCAGAAACTATACACTTAACACTCCTACTTAGTTAACATTTTGTGCCTGCAAGTTCATTTATTAAGGTTATGTAGTTCTACGAAGTAAATCTAACAGATTAAAAGTATGGAACTAAGAATGTGTGTTTACCACACCTTAAATATTTTTATATTATCCCTGTATCACAAACCTAAACGAGACAAGTGGTTTAACATTAAAACGCAAAGTCCTCTGCGAACGCTTCAAATATTTTTATCTATGCTGAAATTATGCTACGACCGCGCAAAAGACACCGATTCATGATTTATGACCTGAGAAGAACGGCGAAGGCAATTTCGGCCGAAAAGATGAGCCTCCGATTATAGTCAGCATCGACGGGAGCGATTGGGGCTTGCCTTATTGGCTCTACACACTTCTTAGAAAGCCCCGAGGTTTGTTTGCATAAGAGACTTAATAGAGCTTTTGGTTCGGTCCGATTTAGCTTTAGATACCCGTTATGGCCGGCTCGTGTGAACTATCTTCACAGTGGATTGCAGATAAACACGTGTTATGTATTATTTTTATTTTGTTTTGTCTTTTATATTACTTGTGTATGTGTTCATGTATTGAAACGGCGTGCAAGTTTAATCAGTTGGGAGTTGATTTGTTGAAACAAGTACAAAATGTCTTACTCACCAATAAAGCTAAATCTTATATAATTATATAAACTAACAATCATCATCATTTTACAGACTATAATATATTGTTTCGTCCCGCGACTACGTCTGCGTAGAATAGGGTGAAAGCATAACATTCAGACAGAAAGACAGATATACATAAAATATTTATATAAATTACAGCCCATGTGTTATTCAGAAGTTCATACTAACTTTTTTATTTATGAACCGATTTGAATAAAACTAACACTCAATGTTCCCATCGTTTGCACTGTCTCCCTTTATTTCTTTTGTCAAACAATGTGAAGACGACATCAGACAAATGGCGGGCCCTAAGTGGACCCAAACAGCCAGAGATCGAGCTGCATGGAAGTCCTTGGAGGAGGCCTTTGTCGAGAGACAAGCTGCTACAGATTATTAAACCGACTACCGATACTTATTTACTACTTAAGGACCACAATTAGGTGTAACTGGTATTAAATTAAACAGTGATTAGTATAACACTAAGTAAGAATAAGATTGTAAAGGGTAACAGTAATAAAGGCTTATTTTATTTTATTTTATTTAACAATGTTAAGTGTTAAGTGAAGCTTACTACAATGCACTAGTGAAAGTTTTACCCAAATCGGTTAAGCCGTTTCTGAAATTAGCGCGCACAAACTCACAGACAAACAGACTCCATTCAATGTTTATATTGTTCAATATAACGTACGAAAGAATTATATTAATAAAGGTAAAACATACTGAAAGTGGTAATAATTCGTGAAAGATGTTTTAAATTAACTGTTCACATGCTCTGTTAGCGCAATTTAATGGTAAACCAATACAGCATCTTATGTGGACCTGTGTGTCTGTGTGCAATTCGATAGCTAAAGAGAACCTCTGTAAACTAAATATTTTAATAATTCTTCCGGGAGTTACGTCACTAGAGGCCTCCGTCTTGAAGTACCACTTTTCAAAACGGAGGCCTCTAGGGAAGTAAAAAACCGAAGATTCCTCGGCAGTTGAAATGTTTATAGGCGAAAATAATCACTAACCATGAAGTCAATCGCTTCCTCGTTTGCAACCCACAAAAATCCTTATTTTTTTGATGCAACGCTTCCTGCCCGTGGAAATCACTACATAGTATAAAACAAAGTCGTCCCGCTGTCTGTCTGTCCCTATGTATGCTCAGATCTTTAATACTACGCAACGGATTATGATGCGGTTTTACTAGAGTTATTCAAGAGGAAGATTTATATGTATTATACATTGCACCCGCGTGAAGCCGGGACGGGTCGCTAGTAACCTACAAATAATGGATTTGTGTTTGGCGCATGCAATTTGTAAATACCTCCTGTTCCATGAAAATATTAGCAAGGGAAGGTTGCCTTCTGGAGTTTTTGACGATATTCGGCGGGTGAGTTACCAACCGGTGCCTTATGGGTGAGGCGGCAGTACAAGAAGTACGGTTGGCGTGACAGGTGGCGCGTTTTCCCACGGCGCGGCCAATTATTAGCCCGGTACTGCACGGCTGTGTGCGCTACTTTCGTGACTGTACAGGCGGAGGGAGTTTCGGACGCGACCGAGCTAAAGACAGGGTACTGGTGACAGTCACGGATGATAGCTGAAACCAATAAGTTTCGTCTAAAGGACACCTTCCAAGGCTATTGTAGTCAGCAACCAAGATCAGTTAGGCCACACTGCTTACACTCCGGCATGGGCCTATTTGACCGAGAATACCACCAGAATACTAGCCTTTTAGAAGAAGTAGTTTTTTCTTGTGAAAATGTGGCAAATGATCTGGCGGCTCACTTGATCCTTAGTGACAACCGCCGCCCAGAGACATTGCAACTTATAATTTTGAAGACAATTGCCCTTAGGGTTGCAAATGCGTCGCCACTATTAAATAAAATCGGCCCCGGCTACCTTTCACATTTACGCCAATTCAATTTCGATAATAGTGCAAGTTTAGATAAACTCGTATTGTCGTAATTCTTTCGTCAGAACGCCAATATTGCGTCCCGGTGTACGCTAACGTCAGTGTGCCTTACCGTTTATATGGAAATGGCGATGGTCACCAACCATGGCGATCTTTTTACTTCAAATTACTCCGCACGATTCCATCAAGCGACAGATGCGTCGCTATTCGAATCCACTTCAACCCCCTCTGACTTGTTAACCATATGGCTGCCCAAAAGTCACACGTTTATAATGCAACTTAATATGTAATCGTTAGTGCTTCTGACTATGGTCGGTTAGCTTTTTAAAACCGGACGATTTTAGAGACATTCTCATGATATAATTGATTTGAAACCACCCACGGTTTGATGTCAGAGCGGGGTTAAGATACAGTGCCGTCTAATGAATTGGGTAAAAAACAAAAAGTATCTTATGAAATTGTATTAAACAAGACATACATACATGCGTATACCAAAAGAATAAAGTGGTCAAATAACTTTATATGACTATATACAATTGATGTGAGCTTACAAATTTAAAGAGAGTCTGCAGGATAACATTAACTTAACAGGTCAGACTAAGACAAATGGACGTTGTTATAAAGCGCTATTGAATTAGCATATGCAGAACAACAATATTAACGAAAAAGTTTGATTTTCAGCAAAATTTCAGGTATAAGGGGAGGATCTTCTTAAAGCTTCCTGAAAAAAAAAAAGGATTAAAAAAAACTAGAGTCACATATAGTATAGATAGATCACTTCTAGTTGTAGAACTCTTAAAATAACGATATTTTATACTAAAATAACGTATATTGTCTTTCACGATCGAACTTTGCGTAGATAAAATTATTTGAACTCACCCTAATTTAATTGAACCTTAAACCGGTAAAATAAGTATATTTCCAAGCTTTAAAACTTCTTGCCACATGTTACAATGAACTGTCTGTTCACTTACAAAATTACAAATGGAAAACTTTTTTGAGTAACGCTATCGACAGACTTCGGTAAACAGTAACCCTTTGCCACCGTATTAACAGATCAACATTGCTAGGTCTACATTATAATAATAAATTATTAAGTTACAGGAAAAAATAACATAAATATATTTGTATTTGTGAAATGATGTCGTTCATCGAATTTTGAAAATGAGCTGGCAAATGAGTGGCGTGCATCCTTATGCATTTAATCATTATGAAATCGAGATTTCAGACAAGGATTAAATGCACTAAAAACTTACCAATTTCTCTAAGTAATTGATGATGAAGTCATTTTACAGTACCTGTTTGTATTAGACAACGGGGTATGCAAAGCTTCTTTGCAGGTATGGAGTTATGGATTTGATTCCAGATTTGAACCAATAGTATGGGACGAAGGCAGATGAACGAAGAAGCCATAACTCAGCTTCGAGATCCACACATAAGCTAGTCATCAAAATAGTTACAGACCATCCCGATGTCCACAAAGGTATTTTTTTTTTCTCGTTTGACTCGGTGCCTCGATTACATAGCTCCGGAATCGAACCGCTATGGCGGATCGGTGGCATATGGCACGGCCGTTACCACGTGTCACGGCACCTGAGCTCGAACACGTGCGACACACGTCATCACATCTACGTTATATGTTAACATTGCGTCTTTATATTGTCGAATCCCAAAAGTGAAACAATAAAACGTATTTGCGGCCTTGTTCAAATCAACAAACAGTAATTCCCGGTATAATGAATCTATGTACTTTTAAGGATTCGTATTTCGTAAGTTGTTGTGATATGTATAAGTTATGATGGGGTTGGTGTATCTTTATGGATAAAAACCCCATGAAAACAAAGATAATAAAAAAAAACATTGCCGCTCCCGTGTAAAGTAGTGTGCATCGTAATGATTGTTTATGTTAACTCGAATCTTAGAATTTTTAAAGTAGCAATTGTTGGCGTTGATAATTGAAAGATGCGTCCGACCTTAAATAATTATTATCGCCTTACTATAAGTTCTAAAGCCCGTTATAAAATTGTACGTGTTTGTATTTTAAATAATAATTAGCAGATGCCATTTCGTATTTAATCAAGATCGAATTATTCAGCTAATCGTCGGAATATTAACGGACAGACTGCCATATTGTGCCCCGCCGTTATGTAAGAAGGGTTCACAGGGTGCTATTCTGAAATACTTACATCTTTACACACGACTAAAAAGAAAGTCGCTCCCGATGTTTGTACGCTTATATCTTTTGAACTACGCAACAGATTTTAATGCGGTTTCAGCAATAGATAGCGTGATTCAAGCGGAAGGTTTAAATATACATATAATTAATAACATTTTCTGATACTTAAAACATTTTGACAATTTAAGTTCGATGTGCGAGTTTGGCGTTTAAACTTAATACTAACTAATTATGAATGCATAAAGAAATAATATTCGTATCCTAATTTATTGATTTTAATGTATTGTTTTGTTCTGAAAAATTTAAATCATATTACTATCAGAAATAAAAACAATTTCCATAATAAGACATTTGGAGAAATAACGCGGAATAAAAGACATTGCAAATGTTATATATAATTTCTGTTGTTGGTTTGAGTATGTAATATCGAAAGATTTCAGAATAGAGCTGTACGAAATTATGGATGGGGTGAACACAAGGTTAATGTCAATGCGGTCGATGTTTTGTCGTAATTTTAATTAGGCTCACCGTTACGGGGCGGCGTTACAAAATGGGGTCAAACGGACCACGCACGAATGCCACCAACGCATGCGATTGTTAATCATAAGCAAACAGACAGGAGTCTGCACAAACGCGAGCAAAAGGAATCATGGCCAAATCATTCCATGTCTATTGGTTTTTATTACGTACTAGCGACCGGCTAGTACGTAATAAAACCACTAGCCCCGGCTTCGCACGGCCGCAATGAATACATATAAACCTTCCTCTTGAATCACTCTATCTAGTAAAAAAACTAAGCATACATAGGGACAGACAGACAGCGGGAGGACTTTGTTTTATAATATGTAGTGATTTAAAAAAAAAAACAACGGCGTAGTTAATGGACTACTTTTTAGATGTAAAATATTAATTTAATCAACTATTGACATAAATATAAAGCATTTTCTTCATAGAGGAAGATGTTCCCAATTTGTTTGTATGTTTGCGACCTTAGAACTCTGTCATTTATGAACCGATTTTAAAAATTCTTTCCGAATTGGCTTTAGCTTCAGATTAACAAAAATGTACGTACCACAATGGGGTACTTTATTTCGCAATATCACTTTGGTTTATCAATGTCAATGTCCCGCGTATCATCGTATATTTAACAAACTGTAATTATATTATTATCAGACCTTAAACTCCGGAAATACATGAGGGAACTCCTTAAAATCAAATAGAAACCAGTAAAACTTAAACTTAAAGAGAATTAATTAGAGTTATACTCAGTATTCAATTGTTTGTTTTGCATTAAGAAAGTTGATTATTGATTAAATTAAATTTTCTTAAGTCGTCTGATTTATTCGTTATGATAGTTTTACATTTAAATATTCTAAGCTTCATTTGAGACAGTACTTTATATTTTGGCTCTGTAAAAGGCGATTTGCAGAGCCGTAACTAAATCTTCATGTCAAAAATTAAAACTTCATATTGTTAAGGAAAGAGTTCATTCGAAGTTCGATTTCAAGAACTTGTTCAATCATGCTTTCCATCTCTACAATTACACAAAACAATTAATCTGGTATCCAGTCCGTGGAACGATGCCAGCCCTAAAATACTAATATACGTCTTCACGGGGAAAAGACCGCCCGGGCCACAGATCTAACTAAGGGTAAGTATCATATAGACAATATAAATTTCACGAGACATCAATGTCAATGTTAATAAACGCCGACGTATCCGCCATCCGACGCGGCCTCTACCTGCGTCCGAATCCGACATATTTTTTCAACCCCCATTTTTTTAAAGCCACAAATAATTCCCCTCTCTCCCGTGATTCCGGCGCTCTATTATTTCCTCGTAAAATACGTATCACACGAAAGTTCTCGTTTGATGGTCTTTTAAAAACTCACGCAAAGTATTCCGCTAGACGAATTTTCTTATAACTATTGTATCTAGACATTTTGCCTTTTTGGATGATTGATTCCTCGATCTCTCGATTCTCGATTTTTTTAAAAGTTTGCCCTTACTTTAGGATAACATTATGTAAGGACGTTTTACAAACATAAATTTCACGTAGACAAACACCCAGATGCGAAACAACTATCTGTGGGTCGCACAAATAGTTGTCCCCTGTGGGCATCGAACCCACGACCCCCGACGCCGAAGCCAATATTTTGGCAACTATAACACGGAGTCATCAATTCCTAAGGTCTGTATTTACTTTGCTTGTATAAACCCATTAGCGCCTTGTCTGGATTATTAACAACCAAGTTGCAGAGTTTGGTGTGTGTACTACGACTTTCTTTCTCGAGCCTTATTCTAATGAGGCAGAAGCGAGACAGCACGTAAATCATGTTTTTAAGTTATTGGCGAAGTTTTTCACGTGACGTCACCTCTGATTGGGAACAGACACATAGACAGTTCTCCTCGATACAGGCTTGCCTGTGAGGAGACAACAGATATTACATTTATACATTTAAAAGTATCAGTAAATTCTACTTGAGGTAACGCTTGCTTTTTGTTGTAAATAAAATGTTTTCAGTTTTCAGTTTTACCGTTTTCAGATTCGTAACAAGTATCTGTGGGTCACCCGTGTACTTGTCCCATAAATGGGAATCGAC